CTCTCTCTCTCTCTCTCTCTCTCTCTCTCTCTCTCTCTCTCTCTCTCGATCTCTCCCTCTCTCCTTCCCTCCCTCTTTCACAGTGAAGCAGGGGAGGGAGCCTAGAAACACTATTCCCTTATCATGTTCACTTGACATTTTTATCAATGAATTGGACGGATAATGGTGTTGACGGCATCTTTATCAAACTTGTAGATGCCCCAGATGCAGTAGGGTTAGCTCACTCAGTGAATGATAGTCAATATAAAAAAATATCTGAACAGGCTAGAGCAGAGATGTCAAACACGAAGCCTGCATGCAGCCTGCAACACTCAGCCTCAACCAGATTAAGATATAATTAGGAAATATTGAACAAAATAAAATACGATAAAACATACGTAACATTACATTTTAAAACCAAGTCACTATGCAACCCATAGAGATCCTTACATATGGATCAATGGCCCCTGATTCTATTTTGTGTTTGACACCACTGGGCTAGACCACTGGCCTGATGAAATGTAATTTAATTTATATTTAATAGGGATAGATGTAAAGTCTTATACTTGGGTTCAAAGTCTCAAGGAGGGATAGTAAGACAATTGTTTGCCTCAAAAAGACCCTGAGGGTCTTTGTTTCCCTACCAGCTCACTTGGAGTCATGTGGAGAAGGCGACAGGTAGCCAAGCAAATGGGCTGGCCACACCCTTCTCTGGGCCCCTGCACATGCTCATGCCATGCCTAGAGCACCCCCTGCCAGAATCCCAGCTTCCTCTGGGGCTTCCTCAAAGGGGAGACACACACACACACACACACACACACACACACACACGCACACACACACACACGCACACACACACACACGCACACACACACGGCCTTTGGCTGCTAGTGTTTCCCACAGTGAAACGACACTGAAATTATTTTACCAACATTTTGTGTAAACTTATATTTCTGAACATTTCCTGTCCCAGTTGAATACAAACTACTTCAGGGTTGTTCTCCCTGGATTTCTTTTTTGTCTGTATCATCAGCACCCAGCTTATAGATGCCTGACACAGCAGCCACTTCAGAAATGCTTGTTTGGCTGGAGCTCCAGTCTTGGAGTCAGGAGGACCTGAGTTCAAATCCAGCCTCAGACACATGACATTTACTAGCTGTGTGACCTTGGACAAGTCACTTAATTCCAATTGCCTCACCCAAAAAAAAAAAAAAAAGCTTGGTTTTGATTGGGCTTGGCCTAAGAGAGGCCAGGCTTCCAAGAAGAGCACTGTATGTTTAGAGCTGGAAGGGACCTTGAGGTCATTTAATCCAATGCTATCATTTGAAAGATAAGACCCAGGAAAGTTAAATAACTTGGCTCCAGTCACATCCAGCGAGTGAAAAAGGCAGAATTTGAACCCAGGTCCCCTGATTGCACCACCAGGGCTCTTTCCTTCCATGCGCACCTCATCGAGAGCCCTGCATTCACTTCTGGGCACTGTGGTGTAGGGAGGTGGTGGGTGATTATACTTTAGATTGAGTCAAGGCCGTGAAGAGCCCAGAGTTAATGCTGCATGAGAATAATTTGAGGGAACCTTCTGATGTTTAGCCTGGAGAAGGGAAAACTCCAGCGGACATGGTGAGGCACCTCCAAATACTTGGAAAGCCATCTCATTCGATGTGCTCTGTGTAGCCCCAGAGGGCAGACTTCACCTCAACTCAGCTGGCCTCTATTAAGGCAGCATTCTAGGCTTGCTGCTGGGGAGGCAAAAATAAAAGTGACACACTTCCTGCCCTCAGTGAGCTTACGTTCTCCTGGCCGAGGTAGAAGATGTGAAGAGGCCATTTGAGGCTTGGTGCCAGAAAAATGTATAACAAAGCACAATGGGGCTGCTTCCAGAGGGCCCTCCTGGAGCCTTCAGCCACTCGAGCCCCGGGCGCTGGCCTCTCCAGCACACTGGGATTCTGGGACTTTGTCTGAACTGTGGATTTACTATTTTAGGGCTTTAAAAAAAGGGGGATGGGAAGAATTCCCATCTGAGCCAGGGACAGACTGCCTTATTCCTTGAGGACAAGGTTTCATCAGGTAATGCTAATGACCCCCCTTTGGCTTTCGCAAGCCTTTGCTGTTTAGTCTGCCCAGTTCTTACCTGACTTATCACCTGAAATCTCATCATCTTAGAGATTGATTCAGCTTTGATACTCATGGATGGATGGATGGATGGAGATAGATAGATGGATGGACGGATGGATGGATGGATGGATGGATGGATGGATGGATGTTCAGTCATTTCAATCACATCTGACTCTTTGTGACCCCATTTGGGGTTTTCTTGGCAAAGATACTGGAGTGGTTTGCCGTTTCCTTCTCTGGCTCATTTTACAGATAAGCAAAATGAGGCAAACAGGGTTAAGTGACTTGCCTAGGGTCACACAGCTAGTAAGTGTCTGAGGCCAGATTTGAACTCCAGCCCTGGAGCTCTATCCATTGCACCACCTCCTCGCTGTCCATAGCAAGCCCTGCAACCTTAATATTTACCTTGGGAGGTTGTTTACTTCACTCTTGTTAGCTCAAACCTTGTATTATTTGCAACTCCCAAAAAGACTTCTTGTTCCCTGCATTGCTGTGAATCCAAACCCTTATGCCCAGACCCCAGTAGGTCAGGGATTATTTTTTTTAGGTCTCCCTAGTGCTTTCCACAGACCGGTGAGTGAATGTTTTGCTGAATTAAATTGAATTGTTTCCCCCTATAAAAGCCCATGACCATGTCCTGGGGAATAGGCAGTCAGGGCTCAGCTAGGGCAAAGAAAGGGCTTAGAAAATCCTAATTTTGCCAGTAGTGATAATAATAATTAAAGATAAAAGGATACTTGAAAAAAGTTTTAAATGGCATGATATTTTGAATATGCTGTGATCCCAGTGTGGTATAATGATGAGAATAACTCTTTCTTTACCAGTTGATAGAAACTCGTTTCCAGCGGCGCTCAGCAGGGCTGGCGGAGCAGGTGGCCCTCCGCCACTATACTGGGAACCACCAGTGGTGAGAGGAAGGTGGATGAGAAGTGCTCTTTAAGCTATAAACAGATTGAAGGCAGAAAGCGTGCTATGCATCACCATTCTTTACTCTCTGGCATACTGTTATGCACATGGCCGTTCAGTGTTGATCGTTTCTTTATTCCTGACGGGTGCAGTCTGGTATAATGAACAGTGATGACCTTGGAATTAGGAAGACCTGGGTTCAAACCCAACCTCTGACACTTGTTTGCACTTGGAGCTTGGACGCGTCAGCCACGCTCTGTGCCTCAAGGAACTCTCTAAGATTTAACTACTAAATCACAGAGGGCTTGGGATCTGCGCTGGGGTCAAAAGGAGTGCCCATCACTGCCCAAATCTCCCTCATATATTCACAGCGATCAACCTGACAATGTCTGATAATTCATCAGATGCTGTCTTAGTAGAGAGAAGGAAAATGGTGACAAGGAATACAGTCAGATGCATCTTTATCATGCTGAGCCATCATGGTAAAATCAGAGGCAGGAGTACACCTCGCCTCATGTGCTAGTGATCTGCATTGAATATTTTAATGAACTAATTAACTGATTTACTGACTACTCCCTCTTAGATTTTTTTTTCTTAAGCCCAATCAGATGTGTGTCAACTGTTCACTGATTAACAATTCAGGATCAACCCCTGCCAAAAATTGGGTCACTGCCTGCAGGCCGCCGTCCTGGGGAGCTTGTCTTCCCTACAGCGCACCTGTCTTCTGCCTTACAGAGACTTAATGTCATGGAGCAGGAGAAAATTGACTACCTGATGTTGAACATGGATGGCACTGAGAATAAAAGTGAGTCTCTGTCATGGAAATGAGAGGTCAAGTCAGCGAGCATTTGTGAAACGCAATGTGCTAAGCTCAGTCCCTGCCCTCCAGGAGCACATGGTCTAATGGTGACGACAGCTGTGTACAAACAAGATAGAAACAGTGGCCATGGGAACTGGTCTGACTGAAGGCCCTGCCTAGCGTGGAAGGGCATCAGGATTGGCTTCCGGCAGAAGGTGGGGCCTGGGAAACCAGGAGGAAGGGACTAGAGGAAAAGTATTCCCAGCCTGGGGACAGCGGGGAGGTAGAGGCTGGAGAGCCTTCTGGTGGAATCTCCTCGAAGAAGGCTGCGTGTCTTTGCATGGTCTTCCCTGGCGGGGAAGAAGGACGCTTCTTGAGGCTCCTTCTAGTTTTCTTGTATTACCAGGAAAAAGAGTTTGGATCTTTTTATGCCTGGAAGGCCAGTGGATTGTCTGTTGTTCCTCTCCAGCAGTAGCCGTAAAGAAATCTCGGGGTTTTGACAGTTTTGGGGACCTGGGCCGCCAGGTGCGGCTGATAGAGCACCAGGCCTGGAGTCAGGAAGCTCAAATCCAGCCTCAGATACTTCCTAGCTGTGTGACCCTGGGCAAGTCACTTCACCCTGTTTGCCTCAGTTTCCTCATCTGTAAAATGAGCTGGAGAAGGAAAAGGCAAACCACTCCAGTCTCTGCCAAGAAAACCCCAAATGGGGTCACGAAGAGTCAGAAGGAATGAACAAGGCTTGTAATGCCCACAGTGGTTGTCCTGGAGTCCCTAGCTGTATGCACAGCCCTTCCTGCCAGATGTATTTAGGTAGCCTTTAACTGGTTCAGAGTGGACTTTGCCTTCCTTTGTATCCCAGAGATCTGTATCTGAGAGATAGTAGGACAAAAGACATTCCTGCTGCTCAGCCTTTGGGAGCTCAGCTTCCCTCTTCTCCCCTCCCCTGGATCTGCAGTGCACCCTTTAGGGCTTTCACCCTTGGGTGTGTTTAGTATTCTGCCCTGCCCCCCTTCTAGGTGAGCTAAGCAACTTAAGATCACCAGGATATCTCTCTCTCTCTCTCTCTCCCCCTCTCCCTCCTTCTCTCTCTCCCCTTGCCTCCTTCTCTCTCTCTCTTTCTCTCTTTCTCTCTCTCTCTCTCTCACACACTCTCTCCATATCTCTCCTCTCTCTCTCTCATTCTCTCTCTCTCTCCCCCTCCCCCCCTCCTCCACTTTCCTTTCTCCCTCTCCCCTTTCCCCCCTCGCCCTCCTTCTATCTCTCCCTCTATCTGCAGTAGCTAGCCCTTACATAGTACTTAGTAAATCTTGTTTGCTGAATTCAATTGGATTTGCCCTGACAAGAATTACAAAACTCTAGAGGGAAAGGTTTGCTATGGGAAATAGCCAATGTGTGTTTCATGGTTTAGAATCCCTGGTTATAGAATTTGCTAAAGCTGAAATTCAGATCCCATTCCCTTGGCTGAGGAAATCAACGGAAAGTATAGTGCTCCTCCTCCTGTTTAGAACTCCTGCCCAAATAGGAGATGGTTTGTGTTTCTGATTGGCAGACTGTTAAAAAAAATTTTTTTAATTTAAAAAAAGGCTACAGCAAAGTCAGTGGACATGTCAGCTAAATTGATTTTTAAAAATAAAAAGAAGCGCCCCCAGACACTGACATCCCGAAAAGAATTAGGAATCATTAAGCTGCAGCCACCCTTCCAGGCCTCTGCACATTTTCTTTCATTGTGCCTTGTGCAAGAAAGACCTTTATGCCCCTTCTGAACTGGGTTGAATCCCTCTCTCATCTCTTTTTTTTTTTTAATTTTTTTTTAATTTTTAGGCAATCAGGGTTAAGTGACTTGCCCAGGGTCACACAGTCAGTAAGGTCTGAGGCTGGATTTTAAATTTGGTCTTCCTGACTCGAGGCCAAATTGCTTGTTTCTCTCTTTTTATTCTTTGTTACAAGGAATGGGCTTACTGGGAAAGACAGGGAAGGAAGCAGGGAAGAATATATTTGGGACTGAAGGAGATATAAAAGCAGAAGATAGCAATACAAATTTACTTTGTTTAAATAAAGATTTTTTTTGTAAGAACTGCCATATTCTCCCATAAACATTTTTCAGTGTCACTATTAGAAACCACATGCTGACTAGGCTTTTGATGTTATTGTGTGGTTTCTCATATGTTAAAAAGAGGCAACAGAAAGAATAATTGGAATCAGATGGATGATCTTTAAAGAAATATCTTATTTAACAGATCTCTTGGCCTATTTCAGGTAAATTTGGTGCGAATGCCATACTTGGAGTGTCTCTGGCTGTTTGCAAGGCCGGAGCTGCTGAGAGAGGTGTCCCCTTATACCGCCACATTGCTGACCTTGCTTGTAAAGAAGAGATCGTTCTACCTGTGCCAGTAGGTTTCTCGTCTAGGGCCTCTAAATTCTGTCTGGGCTATAGGAACCCAAGGCCTCCAGAGGCCTGATGATTTCCACTTCAAAAGGGAATCAGCCCAAGTGGCATTGATAGCAGTGAATGTAAGGGAACGTCTCTGTGGCTTGAGGGGAGACGTAGACTGGCTGAGAGATCCTCATCTAGGTAGTCTCTGCCTCAGTGGAGCTGGCCCAGAGAAGCAGAGCTCCCAGACAAGGCTCCATCACACACTGTGGTCACTGTCCCTCTTCCTCCTCAGGCCTTCAACGTGATCAATGGTGGCTCCCATGCTGGTAACCAGCTGGCCATGCAGGAGTTCATGATCCTCCCGGTAGGAGCTGAGAATTTCAGGGAGGCCATGCGCATTGGCTCTGAGGTCTACCACCACCTGAAGACTGTGATTAAGGAGAAATTTGGGACAGATGCCACCAATGTGGGGGATGAAGGCGGCTTTGCTCCTAACATCCTGGAGAATAAAGAAGGTGAAAATGTTGAGTGGAACAAGCCAGCTTCAGTTTATTTAGGCCCCTGGGGTCCTGGTGCATTTTTCCAAGAGGGTTTTTAAGTCAGAATATTGCCTTTTTCCTGCTCCAGGGTCAGCCCTCTGTTGGACTCTTTCTTTACTGGATTATTCTCATATGTCAGTTCCGACTGTTGGGAAAGCTGTATTCTTTCTGCCCTTTTCAAAGCATGTGCCTTAGTAAGCCGGCTGTGGGGGCTGGGGTTGATGCTGCCACGAAGTAACAAGTCCCTCCCTTTCACCAAGGAAAACAATATAGTCTACTTCGTTATTCCTCAAATAACTAGACATACCTAGTCTGATTATTTCTCTAAAGGAGGCTGACTGTGTGCTTTGAGCCCTTTTGTTCTAGGAAAGGTCTGAAATGATAGTTCAGGAAAGGGGTCATGAGTCATTTGCAACTTTTCTCCAGTCATTGTGGTTAATTAAACCTTAATAGTACTTAACTGATTAAACACAACTAAATGAAGTTCCCTTGACAGTGGCACAGATTTCTGTGGCATCTATCTTTGATGGCCAAGGTTAGAGGCTCTTCCGGTTCAGGCCTCCATCTCCGCAGTCCATTTACTTGTTCTGAGATCCTCAGCTGCTGATTCTGTTTAAACTTTGCTTCTCTGAAAGGCCTTATCTCAGATGCTTCCTGTAACTGCAGCGTGGCAGACAGACCTGCCCTGGGCTCTACATCTGGGCCACTCGTCAGTGGGAAGACCCCTTCTTAATGACTAGACCAAATTTCCCTCTGCGTGACCTCATTCTAAGGGCTGTGCCACTCTCAGTTAGAAACAGCTTGTCTTCCTCCAGGCTGGGGAGAGCAAAAGTAACTGGAGCCCTGAACCAGACAAATTATGGAAAGAACATTTCATCCTCTCCCCTCTTGATTCCTTTTGAGTAAAATTTCTAACCATTGCTCCAGCATAGTTTATGGACCAACTGTTTCTTTACCCTTGTTGCTATTGCTGCCGTCATGTCTTCCAGCTCTTGAACTGCTGAAAGAAGCAATCGCTAAGGCTGGCCACACCAATAAAGTTGTCATTGGCATGGATGTCGCTGCCTCGGAGTTTTACAGGGACGGAAAGTACGACCTGGAGTTCAAGTCTCCTGATGACCCCAGCAGACACATGACTGCTAAGGAGCTGAGCAACATGTACAAGTCTTTTATCAAGGATTACCCAGGTGAGGCCCTTAGGATCAGGCTTCCAACTCCTGGCTTAGGAGAGTGCAGGGTAGAACTGGAGACTCCAGCTCCCAAGGTTCTTCAATAGTAAATCAGTCAGTGACCGTGGGATCTGTGGGGAGTTGTGAGCCCCTGGCGTGGTCCATGCATATATGAACCATGGAATATGCACGAGTGCTGAGTCCACTCACAGCCTTCCCCCGAAGTTGTAGAGTGAGTGTTTGGGGCACTCTCATTAAAACCCAGGGATTCCAGGGATCTCCAAAGCAGTGTAGCTCTTCTAACTCCCTTTCAGTACATAGAGGCAGCTAGGTGGCACAGTGAGCACAGGGCTGAGCTTAGTCAAGAGGACCTGAGTTCAAATCTGGCCTCAGCTGCTGGCTGTGTGACCCTGGGCAATCACTTAACCCCGTTTGCCTCAATTTTCTCATCTGTAAAATGGGGATAATAGTAGCACCTATCTAGCAGGGTGGTTTTGAAGATCAAATGAGATAAGATTTTTAAAAAGTGCTTAGCAGAGTGCCTGGCACATAGGAGGCACTAAGCATATAAACATTCTCTTCCCTTTTCCTTCTTTTCCTTACTGTTATACTTAAAGCAACACAGATTGATTTGAAGGTTTCTTGTCCCAAAATTCCAGGTTGTCTCTTATGCCCTAATAAAGCACTAGATCATCAGAGAAACTCAAGTTTGTTGACCTATACTTAAACAGAAAGCTATTTCTGAGGGTCATCTGTGTAACACACACATTGGAATTCAGCACCGTCAGTGTACCCCATTCATGTTTTCCGTTCTCCTTCCCTTAGTGGTGTCTATTGAAGATCCCTTTGACCAGGATGATTGGGAAGCTTGGAGGAATTTCACTTCTTCTGTAGGCATCCAGGTGGTAGGGGATGATCTCACTGTTACCAATCCCAGGCGTATCAAAAAGGCCATCCAGGAGAAAGCCTGCAACTGCCTCCTGCTCAAAGTGAACCAGATTGGCACCGTCACGGAGTCGATCCAGGCGTAAGTCCTCTGGCACAAGCACGAGGAGGGGAGGTGCAGAGTCTGGCGTCAGCCTGGCCTGCTGAGCCCCTCAGGGCCCCAGCTGTGCATCACAGGGCCAGGTTTACGGAAACTTGATGGTGGACGTTAAAGTGATAGAGAGCAGTCCAGAGGCTGTGGGAACAAGGGACGAGGATCATTAACGCATGCCTTTCTGAGGGCCATTGGTGACTTCTCTGTGTTCTTAGCCAAGGGGTGAGAAATAGTCTGATGGCCTTATGGTCAGGAATCCTTTTTCTCGATGAAGTGAACTTTAAATAACTGAGAACTAAAGTGTGTGCTTCCCAGAGCCTTGTTCACCATCCACCTGTTCTTTGGACTCGCTGATTCTCCCTCCGTCTGTCCTTTCCTCTCCATTCTCACTGCAGCTCCCTTAGGGCTGGCCCTCATGACCATCTCCCTGGCACTTTCAGTAGCCTTTCCCACTCTACCCTCTCTAGACCAGAGCAAGCTAGACAGAGATCAACTTATGTCCTTCTGCCGACAAAATTCTTCACCAACTTCCTATAACCATGGCATGCAGTCAAGACTCCTTGGCCTTCTGTTTAGGCCCTCCACAATCTGGGGCCACTTGCCTGGCCTTTCTTGTCTGCTTTCTGCTCCTCCCCAGGTCCTCCGGGCTTTAGCCAAACTGTCTCACACACTTCATTTTCACATTTCTGCATTTTTTCATCATTCTTGACTTCCCTTCTACCAGCCTTTCCCAGGTGCCAAATGTCACAGCCCTCAAAGCCTTGCTTGATTTCCCCACTACTTATGCCCACTCAGCAGCGTCCCAGAACTTTGGGGCTCTCTTAGAAACTTCCCTTATAGCCTGTTCATTTTTGTTATGTGCCATATCCTCCATTAGCCTGGGCTCTTTGGTCTGGCCTAAACTCTTTGTCCCTCAGTGCCAAGCACAGGTGCTTTGTACAACAGAAGTGACGTGCTTAACATGTCATCACATGTGTTTTCTGTCTTTTTTGTGGGGCATCTAGGTGCAAGATAGCCCAGTCTAGTGGGTGGGGAGTAATGGTTTCCCATCGTTCTGGGGAGACTGAAGATACCTTCATTGCAGACCTGGCAGTGGGTCTCTGCACTGGGCAGGTAAGGAAATGTTTTGTGCTGAAGGTACTCCTTGCATCCTAGAAGCCCCAGCCTTCAGGGTGACTGGGACATAAGACATCCCGGACATCTTCCTGAAATGACAATGACGCTTAACTGAAGAGAGAAACTTCACGTAATCAGCGTGTCTTGCCCTTACCTAGCCATGATCTACCAGAGGGCCAGGATTTCCCAGCGTCTTTCCGACAGGCCAACAGCCTCTTCTAGGCCTGGGCTTCTCTTTGGAGTCTCACAGTCACTCAGGTCCTGATTGACATCTGCCTGCCCCTTCCCACAGTCCCACATCCCACCTGCAGAGCCTCCCTACTCTGTGCTCACCTACAAGGATTCCTCCTGATTTGCTTTCTTCCAGATTAAGACTGGTGCCCCTTGCCGATCTGAGCGTCTGGCCAAGTATAATCAGCTTCTCAGGTGAGACGTTTTGGGAGCCTCTGAGGGAAAATCAACAAGGCTCTTCTTTCCTTGGTACTTAAGTGGTTAAATCTGTGACCTTACCCATGGGGGTACTCCCTCCAGTGATACAGTCCCCAACCTATCGCTCTCCTCCCATAGGGTGGGACCCAGGATGCCTGGAGGGAATGCAGCACTGAGCACATAGGCCTTTTTTCTGGGAGGATGGTGGTGTCCTGACCAGCTACGTGCAGTTCAACAAAAACAATCCAGCCCTGGTGGCCTCTCCTTTTAAGAACAAAGGGATGTCTCAGAATCTTCTGTGCCCTCAAGTGAACGAGGAAGCATGATGCAGGGAAAACCGAACCCAATTGATACACACATTTGGTTGGAGGCCAGCTCTGCTCCTTAAGCAGCTGTGAGCCCTGGGGAATCCCCTGAGTCTCTCTGTGCCTCAGTTGCCTCCTCTGCAAAAGGAGGGAAGGTGGACTAACCAATCTCCAGAGTCCCATCCTGCTCCAAATTCTGTGGTTTTGTTGAAATGCCTGTTTGTATTGCTGCCTTTATCACCAGGCACAAGGGTGGCAGGAGTCTCGTCCCAAAGGACAGGATGGGATTTCTTTTTCTTTCCTGAATCCACAGCTGGTAGAGCCTTCCCTGGCCCGTATTATCGTGCTTCTGTTTTGTCGTTAGTTATCTTTGCGTACAGGAGCCTGAAACCCAGACAGATGGAGTGATTTTCCCAAAGTCACTTGGATATGTTGGTGTTGGCGTGGGCGATGCTGGGCGGGGGAGAGGCACACTGTACTCATGGCTGTGGAAGCCCGGTGAATTTCCTTCAGTTCAGTTGATTTACATTTTTCCATATTCCTGTCCAGGAAAATTCTGACAATCTTGAAATTGATCTGCTAGAGATTGCTGTGACATATGACTAAACTTTATGTCTTATTAATTTTCATCATTTCATTTTTTTTCTTCTGCCCTGAGAGGAGCGGTGTAGCTGGGGTGCACCGCAGTACAGAGTGCTGGGCCTCAGGGTGACCTGAGTTCAAACTCAATCTCAGGTTCTTACTAGCTATAGGACCTTGGGCAAGTCACTTAACCTCCATTTGCCTCAGTTTCCTCATCTGTAAATGGGGATGATACCAACACCTACCCCCCAGGGTTGTTGTGAGGATCAGTATTGCTGAGATAATATCTGTGAAGCACCCAGCACAGTTCCCAACACATAGTAGATGCTTAGTAAATGCTTATTCCCTTATTCTCCTAACTCCAGTTTTGAAAATCATGTCAAACACTAGTTGTCATATTTGTTCATCTTGTGATCTTCTCTCCCAGCTTCCATGCCACAGTTTGCCGCACATCTTCCAAAAGTGCCGTTATTTCCATGCTGTTGAAAGACTTCTGTCCGTGTGGCCTAGCACTTGGAAGGATCTGAGGTTCTCCACATGCATTATCTCCCTTGATCCTCACCGCAGCCTTACTAAATACTGTTATTCACACTTGACAGGAGGCGATGCAGGCTCCCGACGTGGTCAGAATCCTTAAGTAGTGCTAAGTGGTAGGCCTCCACCCTAGGAATTTAGGGTCCGAATTCAGCCCAGAGAGCACAAACAGCAGTTTCCCTTGTTTGGTCTGGCTTGGAAGTGCTCATCTGCCAGGAGAATAATGCTGACCATTGATTATTATTCAAAACTATGTTCAAGGCTTTGTTCTTCTGGTTGTTCAGTCGTGTCTGAGTCTTCAGGACCCCATTTGGGGTTTTCTTGGCAAAGATACTGGACTGGTTTGCCATTTCCTTCTCCAGCTCATTTTACAGATGAGAAAACTGAAGCAAACTGGGTGAAGTGACTTGCCCAGGGTCACACAGTAAGTGCCTGAGGCTGGATTTGAACTTAAGTCTTCCTGATTCGAGGCTTGGCGCTGTATCTACTGCACCACCCAGCTGCTGTCCTCATATAGCAAGTTCAGGAAACAGCTAGCCATCCAGGGGAGTAATGGGAATTCAAGCTAGAAGGGGAGGTTGGAGCCCATTTATGGGGGGATCTAAGTGCTTCAGGGTCATTAGTTTTACTTTCTGTTCTAGGCAGTAGGGAGTCACTTAAGGTTTGTGAGCAAGAGAATGACATAGTCTTTGTCTATTAGATTATTTTGGTAGCTGTGTGATAGACTACGAGAATTTTTTTTTAAAAGCAGAACTTTTTATTATTTACAATATAAAGGTTACAAAGGTGTATATGTGCTTATATATATTGCCCTTAGGTCACACATTTTCATTGTAATGTACATGTGAAGCTTTCCTGGGATTGACTGTTAAGAACACAATACTGCCCAGTTTTACACGACTATTTTGATTTGGTAGCCTAGACCAGCCAGAAGATCCAAGATAAGAGGAAAGAAGTCATATCTGAATACAGGATATACTTTTGACTCTTCCTAGCAGTATTATTACAATCTCCTAAGTCTCAATATTTAAAAATCACCAGGAACAATATGGGGGGGGGGTGAGGAGAGGGAGAGGAAAAGGAGGAGGGAGGGAAAAAAGGGGAGGAGAGCCTGAGTTTGCACAGATGTTAGCCAAAACAGGTCATTTTGGGTAGTGACTGAGGAGCCAAAGATTGGGGTGACTTAGAGAGATGAAAAGACAGAAATCATGATCAGAATTTGGGGCCCTGGGGAAGTCTAAGATGCAGCCACACCTACGAGTGGCGGGCATGGAATGGAAATGGGGTGACAGGAGCCAGCTGATCACCCAGAAGGGCAGGGTGTTTGGAGGGACATAAGTGTGAATATTGGAATTGTCAAGAATGAGAGCTGGGGTTGCAGGGAAGAGGACAGCAACCACCCCCCAGCCCACCCCTACTGTGAGAAAGAAGAGGAGGTGACCATGCAGGCCCACGGAGGACAGCAGCAGTCCGAACAGAGTGATATTACTAGATACTGGGAACTTGCAAGCTGAGGCTGTGGGGTGCGGGCAGAGAGGCAGCCCCTGGCCCTCTGTCACAGGGGCTGTGGATTAGGAGGCAGCCAGAGGATGGGGAAATCGGACATAGTATGTTATGAGAAGATCATTTACAAGAAGTTGTGCTAAAGGAAGTTGCTGAGAACTGTGATTAGAGTGGGAGAGAAACTGGCCAGATTCTGGGCTCACCACACCCTGGGAGGGAGGCGACAGGGCATTTGGCCCTTCTTGACCCACTTGGGGTAGAGGCTTAATTATAAGAACCACCAACGTTTCTGTTGCACTTGAAGGTTTGTGAATCATCTGCTGTGACCCAGCCCCCAGAGGAAGCCACAGAGGTAGCATCGTTTCCATTTTCCATCTCATGCACTGCCTACTTGCTCCAGTCCCTAAGCAAGGAATTTTATGGCATTAGAATGTGACACACGATGGGTTTCACTCTTTCTGTTCTCTGCAGAATTGAAGAACAGCTGGGCAGCCAGGCTAAATTCGCTGGTAGGAACTTCAGAAAACCCACTACAATTTGCCAGACTGATGGATCTTCTGTAGTCACCACCCTAGCAGTTTTTATGTGCCATGTCAGAAGCCATCGGTAACCCACGGGAAAGGCGTGGCTGTATCTCTGGAGGGACAGGGTCCTACTGGGCTAATAAATCATCTTTCTACCCCTTTGTCATTGAACAATTGTTTGGAGTGCTCATTAATACTTGATATCACCTATGTAGAATTGCACTTGGACAGAGATGAGGGAGAGAAGGGTAGTTCAGGGGTTGTGTTCATAGGTTGGAGGTTAATTAATTGCATTGGATGAGAACCCAGTTTCAGAGTTGGGGAGGAGTGACCCACAAGAGTGGCTGCAACAGCAGGTCTGGAGTGTAGCAAAAAACCAGCTACTACTACAATTAAAAGAGCTTGAATATAGGAAACTTTCGATTCTGTTCAAGTATTAAGCACCTACTATGTGTCAGACACTATGCTAGGTATACAAAGACAGAGTTGAAATAGCCCCTACTCTCAAAGTGCTTACATGCTATAGCAAATAGAAATGGGAGATAGTTGAGATCCTAAGATGATCAATGATTTCAGACTTGGTCTAGAAGCCAAGTAAGACTATTGACTAAGTCCTCCAACTAGATCAAAGAAAACTGCTACTGTCACCATCCAAGTGGCAGGAGAAAGAAGTACCACCTAGAAGTGGGGAGCCAGAAGGGGATATAGAAAGGATCGTCTCTACCCCGCCCCCATTCGTGTTCTGGATGAGACTGGAGCCCAGAAAAGGTCCATAGTGCGTGCAGGGTCACGTGACCAGAGCACAGCTTCATAAATCATGACTAATGAGCTGATGAAAAACAACACGAAAATGTTCACTAATTGAAGACTGTAGGCTCATCTGACTTACACACTCGAGTAGCATGGGTTGTAGGAAACGTACTGGTTCTGGGGACCTCGATTCAAATCTCAATTCAGTTCACCTATGAGCTACAGGAAGCTAGGCAGGTCACTTCTCCAGGCCCGTTTCCTCATCTGTAAAAGTGAGAGGTTAGAATAGATGATGTCTTGATCCCCATTCTAAATCTGTAACCTCATGAATCCCTTAACTTAGGACCTTTCCATCTTTATGGAATAAGCTGTCCTATTTTACTGACGCCCCAGATTCCCACTGGAGGCCTTAGAAGTTAGTACCTCAAGAATGTAAACACAGAGAGAGGAAGTTCACCTGGATGACTAACACTGTTCTTAAGAACCACAGCCTGTGTTCATTGAGAAAACAAAATTAAAGTTCAAATAATCTTTATATTCAACTATAGCTCTTTACACAGGTTGTTCAAAATTCATCCAGTGTTACATTTTTGTCAGTGGCTAAGTACATTTTAAAATTCTCCACTGAAGTCCTCTGACGTTTCACTGTAGTAAGGTTCACGGAAGCCGGACCAACGAAGCTGAAATTCAGGCAGGTCCTGGCAGCCCAGGAGACCCACGTACCATCCTTATCTGTTTCTACACTTCTAATAGCAAAAGGGAGTTGGGTATTAAGAGCCACACAATTCTTAAACTCTCTATTGGAGGAAATAAACCACATCCATGTTGATATTCTAGCTATACATGAAAGAATTTTGGCCAGAAAATGTCTCAGCCAGTAAAAATATCTTGCCAGTCAGAAAGAGTATGCCATGTCAGAGTACAAATTCACCTGCATAACTTCAAAGGAGACTATGATAAAAGACTGAAGGCTGTCTCCTTACAATAGAGATGAGAAATAGTCAATCAGAAAATCAGCCTGCAGAGTGTAGTGTGGAAACCAAGCAAGCTGCATCATTCTAAGAATCTTGGTCAGTCGAGTGCTCTGCTGGGTGTGTCCGGTGATCGGTTTTCATCAGCGACAGTACTGACATCCCTGCTCTTGAACCTGACTGCTTCAATACCCTGTGGACTGATGTGAGGACATTTCACCCATTGAAGGAGATAAAAGTCAGGAATCGTGGTGGGACCTGATCAATTGTCAAGGGAAACCTTGCTGGCTGTGATACCATTTCAAGGCAGACAGGAATGAATTTCCAAAATACTTCCAAAAGGAGAATATTGTAAAAGAATGGAAAAGACCACCAGCCAATAGACCTATTTTTTATCTCTATAAAACCCTTGTAAGAATGTTATATTCATACATACGTTATCCTTGCTGAAAAGAAGGAATGTACCAAGCAGTCATAGATGACTTTCTCCCTCAGATTACATCTTCAGTTATCCGATCATAGGATTTCAAGCTCCAGGGGTGTGTAAATTACTTGGGACAAGCAACCGTTTTGACCAGTTTCACTGGGCGTTGGCAAGGGCCGTGGGTTTTTGCTTCTGCTGACACCAGTCTGACTCAGTACATCCAACTTTGACCGAGTAAAACTGAACCGAGCTGGCGCCCCCATCTCTAATTAGTTCTCTATCAGCCGAGTGCTGCCTTTTAGGCTATAAATACATTCCATCATTTTCTTTTGTCCTGCTTT